AAAAAAAAAAAAAAAAAAAAAAAAAAAAAAAAAAAAAAAAAAAAAAGGGGGGGGAGTGCTATGAGGGGGGGAGTGCTATGAGGTGGCTCAATGTGTAAAGCTTTTGACACCAAGCCTCACCTGAGCTCAGGCCCTGGAACCCACTAGTAGGAGAACACCAACCCGATGAGTTATCTCTGACCTGCACATGGGCAGTACGGTGCAAGTACATTCTCCCAAGCCCTCCCTCAAATAAAAATCCCGTCTTTGGGATGTGTGTGTGTGTGTGTGGTTTTTTGAGACAGGGTTTCTGTGTGTAGCACTGGCTCTCCTGGAAATCACTTGGTAGACAGGCTGGCCTGCTTCCCTAGTGCTGGTGGTGGTCTCTCTCACCACCAGATTCCTTCCTGTCTGTTCTTCCTTTCTTTCTGATTTATTATGTTTACAGTGTTCTGTCTGCATGTATGCTTGTACACCAGAAGAGGGCACCAGTTCTCATTATGGATGGTTGCGAGCCTCCATTTGGTTGCTGGGAATTTAACTCAGGACCTCTGGGAACGCAACCAGTGCTCTTAACCTCTGAGCCATCTCTCCAGCTCCATCCTAACTTGGATTGCTGCTGCATCCCCGTGTACTGTACTTGGTTTTCTTTGCTTGAGGAAAGATGGACCACGACGAGGCAGCTTAATGATCTTCACTGGCATGCTCGGTTGTTGTCCCTATATTTGATGTGTTAAACAACCCACCAACACTCTTACACTTGGGGAAACTGAGGCTGGGAGCAAATAGGTTCACCACCTAGGTCTTTCTGTCCTCCAACAAATCCCTGCAGCCCAGAATTACTTGTGGCCTCTTGACCTCTAGCCTAGTGACTTTTCTTCAACCCTGCCAGCCTTCGAAGGTCTCCTGGGACAGTGTCTGGGTCTTCTCTCTGCTTCTTGCATAAAGTTCAAAATGGTCTGGAAATCTCTATTTTTCTAGTTTTGCCTTTTGACCCGGGTCCAAGCTGGTTCCTCATCCTCTGGGATGGCTGTGTCCTGGGAACCTTTCTAGGCAAAATCAAACAGGTGATCTGTCCCCTTCAAAACCAGAACCATCCAGTGCAGTCCAGTCACTGGCCACAGCGCTGCTTCACAGAAAGGAAATGGACAAAGTTGGGACTAAGGTTGAATGCCTGCCACCTTAGCATTTATGAGGAAGAGGCAAGGAGGGAGGGACAGGGTCAACTGCCATTACATACCAGACTTAAAGCCAGGCTGGGCTACACGTGAGCCTGAAACTAAGAAACATGCAAGGAAAAGGGGTGGGGTAGGGTCCAAGCATGGCAGTGCATATCTTTAGTCCTGGCACTTGAGTAGATCTTTGTGACTTCTAGGCCAACAACAATCTATGCTCAGTTCTAGGCCAGTCAAGGCTACATAGTTCCACCCTAATGTGTGCGCGTGGGGGGGGGGGCGGACAAAGGTTTTGCTGGGTTCTAGGGCACCCCTAAGTCTTGAGAATGCTGTTATGCATACTTAGTGAGCTGCCTGTGAAGACTCAATCCAGAAGTACATTACTACTCCTCGGTGCTGCCCGTCTGGCTTCACAGATGGGACAACTGAAGGTCAGTGATCCCTTTTTTGAGACAGGGTCTCACTATGTAACTCTAGATGGTCTAAAACTTTGTAGACCAACCAGGCTGGCCTTGAACTCCTAAAGTTTTTGTTTATTGTGGTGCTGGGGTGGAACAGATGATGTAGGAAAAGGCTGTACTACCAAGTCACCGTTCACAGGAGAAGTCTAGGCAGGAACTCTCCCAATGAGCCATAATCACCCCCATCCTCACTGGGGAATTCTGTTCAGGCTCTACCACTGAGCCATGTGCCCAGCCATTTGTTTCATTTCCTTTCTTTCTTTTCCTTCTTTTGTTTTTTCTGAGATAAAGGTTTTTGATGTGCCGGGCATTGGTGGCCCACACCTTTAATCCCAGCACTCAGGAGGCAGAGGCAGGCAGATCTCTCGGAGTTCGAGGCCAGCCTGGTCTCCAGAGTGAGTGCCAGGACAGCCTCCAAAGCCAAAGCCACACAGAAACCCTGTCTCAAAAAACCAAAAAAAAAAAAAAAAGTCTTGATGTAACATTTGTTTTGTGAGAAAAGGTTTCTTTGTGTCACTCTGGCTGTCCTTGCACTCAGAAATCCCCTTGCCTCAGCTTCCCAAGAACTGGAATTAAAGGTTGGGCTACCCTACGTACACACACTCCCCTGCCAGATGCTGTAGCTAGCAGTCCACTGTGATTAAAGTACTGTTCAGTTTACAGTGGAGCTCAGTGGCTGAGCAGTTTCATGACCACTGAGTTTCAACTCGAGGAATTCTGTATTATTGTTCTTCAAAAAGATTTATTTTTTATGTGTCTTGAGTGTATGCCAACATATACATCTGTGCACTGTGTGTGCAGTGCTGAGAAGAACACAAGAGGAAGTCCAATGTCCTGAAACCAGAGTTAGAGACAGTTGTGAGCCACCATGTAGATGCCAGAAACCTGGGTCCTCCACCACAGCAAAAGTGTTCTTAACTACTGAGACACCTCTCCATACTGACAATTTATACTATAAGCCTTTTTTTTTTTTCCCCCGAGACAGGGTTTCTCTGTGCAGCTTTGGAGCCTATCCTGGCTCACAGAGATCCGCCTGCCTCTGCCTCCCGAGTGTTGGGATTAAAGGCGTGCACCACCGCCACCACCACACACCGTCCAGCTTTTAATCTTGTACCTTAAAAGAAATTCAAGCAAAGTATGGTGGCACACAACTTTAATCTCAGCACTGGGGAGCCAGAGGCAGAGATATCTCTGTGAGTTCCAGACCAGCCAGAGCTACACAGTGAGACTTTGTCTCAAATACAAAAACTGTTTATGAAAATTCATTTTTATGTGACAGACACATTTGTTCCAGAGAAAAAATGTGGAGGTCAGAGGACAATTTGTGGCAGTCACCCCTTTTCGTCCACACGAGTCTTAGGAATCAAACTCAGGCTGTCAGACTTGGCAGCCGGCTCCTTTCTCCACTCAGCCATCACCAGGCCCCTCTAGGACTTCATCTTCACCCACATGTGAAGATTTCGCTTTAGCATGTAATAAATGTGTCTGTTGGGGGAGAAGTTCCCAGACACCCCCACAGAATTTAATATCTAGTGGCCAGCAAATAGCTCAGCTGGTGAAGGTCCTTGATGCCAAGCCTGGTGACCTGGATTCTATTCCAGGGTTCACACGGAGGAAGGAGAGAACCAACTCTTGCAAGTTGTTCTCTAACCTCCACCCAAGCCGTGGCATGCATGCTTGTAAAAGCCTTAAAAAAATAACCAAGTCATCCATTGGTGGTGGTGGTGGTGGTGATGGTGCACACCTTTAATCTCAGTACTCGGAGGCAGAGGCAGGCAGACCTCTGAGTTTGAGGTCAGTCTGGTCTATAGAGGTCCAGGACAGCCAGGGCTATGCAGAAACTCCCCTCCACCCCCGCCCCCCAAACAAACAAAGAGCCCTGAGGCTGGAGAGATAGATGGCTCAGTGGTTACAAGCATTACTGTTCTTACAGAGCTCCTGGGTTCAGGTCCCAGCACCCACATGTGGCTCACAATTAACTTTAGTTCTAGATGATCCAATGCCCTCTTCTGGGCTTCCTCTGGTACTGCACACACATGGTTCAGAGACATTTAGGCGGACACACAGTCAAGCATGCAAAGTAAAAATAAATAATTAATAAAACAAGTATACACATAAATTTGTTTCGAGACAAAATTTCTGTGTGTAGATCTGGCTGTCCAGGAAGTAGCTCTATAGACCAGGCTGACCTCAAACTCACAAAGATCCACTTGCTTCTGCATCCCAAGCCCAACCGTGTTTTTAAAAAGTATGTAAGAGGATTGCTATGGAAACAATATGCTATTTAGGGCTGGGGATGGGTCTTAGGCAGTATCGTGCCTTCTAACATGCAGGAAGTCCCAAAATCCACCTCAGGACTAGATAAACTGGGTGTGGGGACCCAAGGCCTGTCACCCTAGCACTTGGGCACGAAGAGGCAGAAGGATCTTGCATTCAAGACTTCTACACTAAAGTTCTTGAATCAGGAGAGATAAAAGCACCCACATGCCTGGCTTTAAGCCACAGATCCTACCAAGACAGACCATGACTCAATATGAATGATTGAGTAACAGCTAGGCATGGTGGCACACACCTGTAATTTCTGAGTTCGAGGCCAGCCTCAGCTACAGAGCAAGTCTGAGGTCAGCGTAGGGTACATGAGCCCCAGGGTCAGAGAAAATGGACAGTGAGGTGGCTCAGCAGGTAAAGACCTGGCTGCCAACGTCGGCAGCCTGTCTTGTGTTCAGTTCACTGGATTCAAAAGATGAAAGGAGTGAACTGAATCTCAGAAGCTGCTCTTTGATCGCACAGTGTCCCCAAGCCCAATAAAGGATCTTTAACTTAAAGTAATAAACCTCAAAAAAAAAAAAAAAAAAAAAAAAAAAAAAAAAAAAACCCCAGCCCAGGAAACAGATTAAATAAAGCCATATCAGCCACCAGCTGGAAGTATCAGTGAGAGCCTCGCTTTAATTGGGGACAGGATTTAAGGATTGATTGTCAACCCACTGACCAATTGATCAATTGTCGATGTGGACAACATGTAGGAAGCTCATGGGATCCTGCACCCACCCTGGCTGAGAGGAGCCCTGACTGAGGCCAGGGGTCTGGCCACTCCTCCTACCCCATCCTGGGCTCTTGAGAAGGGAACATGGTTCAAGCACTGCCCAGCCCTTGTCCCTCCTGGTTCATTTCCCATGAACCAGCAGCATGCCCACTCTCCATTCAAGGAATATGGTACAGCTTGTATTATACAACAGGAAGGGGTTACTTCTCCCTGGAGATCCCCTCCTCAGCTTCCCAACGGGGTTCACCACAGAAAGGCAAGTCCATTCTCCCTTTCAGTCTCAGAATAATTTATATACCAGCCTTATAGTATGTACAGAAAACCCCACACACTTGGAAAGCGGGGTTATTCTCATCACCAGCTAGAACAGAAACTACCTCTGCTTAATAAACAAACAAAAACCCTGTAAGCATCATGGGGTAAGGAGAGTGGGTTGGTAGGTCAGACAGATGGACATCTGGGGAGGAATTGGGGGAAGGGCTACAGTACCGTGTACAGAGACATAACAGGGCAGGCAAGGAATCAGAACTCCCACTGCCCTGCTGCAGACTGGCCGGGTGTGGCAGAGGAGAATGGAGTCATTCCTTTTTAAACGTCCCCTTACCCCCATGGCTTGGAGAAAATGGCCTTGCTCTGTCTGTATTGCTTAGGGACTGCCTGTGGCTGGGCTGGATGGGGGAAGGTCAGGTTCAGTAAGGTGAGGACAGGAGAAATGGCTTTGGTGCTGGAAGGGAAAGGCTGCCCAGGATGGGAGGATGTGGTACACACCATTATTGCTTCCTCCTAGGGCAATGAGAGTTGGCGTGTGTGGGGGGATGTGAGTGAGACTCTGAAAAGGTAGTTGAGTGGATGCTGGAAGAGGGGACTGTGGGCGGAAGAGCTGCCCACCCAGGGAGAAGGAGGGGGCCACTGAGACTTCATCTATGGCCACAGGAATCTTTAAGGCAGAAACAAGAGGAAGAAGCAGCTGGAAGGAGGATGTTTGTGTGCATGGAACAGAGCCCCCTTCCTCCAACGGAGAAAATTCAAAGTGACCCAAAGTGGACCAGGAAGGAGATGGCATCTGAAGAAGGGACTTCAGCCCCGAGGCCTGATGCTCGTAGAGGGCGTGAAACCAAGGGTCCCTAGATCTTAAAGCAATAGCTCTTCTGACCACCCCTCTCATCCACATGGCCAGGGTTGTACAAAAAAAATAAGAAAAAAGAGAAAAGAGATGGAAGACGTGTGGGAGGGGACAGTGAGGCAGGGAGAGGGGCCCCTTGCTAGGGACCAGCCCCCTCCTGTGGCTCTCCCTGCTATGGACCAGCCCCCTCCTGTGGCATTCCCTGCTATGGACCAGCCCCCTCCTGTGGCTCTCCCTGCTACTATTCCCAATATGGTTCTAGACTCCCTCTGAACCCCAGAAGGACATCCCAAAGGGCAGTGCCATGCCTAGACTTGAGTCTCAAGGAGCAAGTCTCAAGATAGGCAGGAAGATGGCGCCTTGGATTGAGGTTGGGTGAGGGGAAGGGGGAAATAAGGGGGAACCAGGAATGGGGAGGTGGGTGCATCTACAGTTGCTGTGTTTCATTCTTTTTTTTTTTTTTTTGTTCTTTTTCTAAAAACGTTACAATTAAAATTCAAAAAAATAAACTCCCTTTTTTGGGGACTTCAGTTCCTGGCTCCCCAGACCCCACCTCCACAAAAAAGCCCTGTGGGTAAGGGCAGCGGGGAAGGGTAAAAAAAGAAAAGAGAAAAAAACCCCACTTTTCTGTTTTCTTTTTTCTCAGGAGGGCCAGGAGTTGTTGAGGTGGTCCATGGTGAGTGAAGAGAGGAGGGACAAGGGAGGACCCAAAGGTGAAGGGAGCAGGGCTCAGGCAGGGTCCCCACCTGACCCCAATGTGCCTGAAGCTGAGACGATGGCAGAACTGTCTCCTGTTGTCCCAGAACAGGCATAAGCCCTCGAGGCAGCCAGATGGTCTCTTGGGGCCTCCACCTCTGCCGCCATGGAGGGGAGGCCCAGGAGGCCCGGGACCTCCTCTGGGGGGCACAGGGTCCTCAAGTCAGGCAGAATGGGAGTTCCAGGGCTGAAGGAGCAACCCACAGTCTCCACGGACTCCTTGGGAGTAGCACATGCTGGGTCTGCCCCCTGCCTCAGACTCTTTTCTCTCTCTACCACTTCAGAGTTCGGGTCTTTGTCTTTGACCTTTGACTGTTCTGTAGCCTGAGCTGTGATGTCATCTGAAGCCAGGGAGATTTCCTCAGCTGTGGACAATCCCAGAGCCTCCAAGGAATCTTCCTCCTCTTCCTCCTCCAATGTGAGCTCAAACTGGAACTTGCCAGGTAGGGTTGGATGGCCAAGATGTCCTGGCTCCTCTTCCAGGGGTGGGGAAGGGCTCTGCCGAATGGCACTGTGATACCAATCCCTGTTGTCTTCCAACGTGTCCAGGATGTCTTGGGCATCAGGATGGACGAGATCTGCCCACGTCTCCCACAGCGGGTGGACAATGTAGTCAATGAAGCCCACCTGGGGAAGAGGAAGAGTGTCTAAACAAGTGGCTTGATGCAGCTAATAGCAGGGTCTACTCAAATAAAAGGCAAGCTTCTAGCCTGGCAGTGGTGGCACAGGTCTTTAATCCCAGAACTCAGGAGGCAGAGGCAGGGGGATCTCTGAGGCCGAGGCCGAGGCCAGCCTGGTCTACTGAGAGAGTTCCCAGACAGCCAGGACTACACACAGAAACCCTGTCTTGAAAACACCAAAAATAAAACAAACAACAAAACAGGCTTCCAAGGCCTGGGGATGTGGCTCAGTTGATTGGCTTCTAGACCTTTGTCTAGCATGTAGGAAGTCTTGAGTTCCATCCCAGAGATGTGTAAATCAGGCATGCTGGCTACATGCCCATAATCCAAGCATTTGAGATGTCGAGACAAGAGGAATAGATGTGCAAAGTCATTCTTGAGTTTCAGACCAACCTGGGTTACATGAAATCCTGTCACAAAAAACAAAACAAAAACAAACAAAAAACCAAATGGCCCCCCAAACCCACCAGTCAAAAATCAAACAAACAAGATGGCTGTCCTGAAGATATCTGAGACTGAACTCTGTCCTTGGCCCATGCATACACACGTTTAACACACACACACACACACACACACACACACACACACACACAAACACACTCCATTTTTAACCCAGAAAATTTGCTTCTTTAAACTTGCACAAGCAAGATGAGGAAAACATAGGATGAGGGCAGTGGTGTTGCATGCCTTTAATCCCAGCGCTCCGGAGGCAGAGGCAGGCGGATCTCTGTGAGTAAGTTCGAGGCCAGCCTGGTCTACAAAGTGAGTTCCAGGACAGTAATGGCTACATAGAGAAACCCTGTCTGGAAAAAACAAAACCAAAAATAAAAAAACACAAATGACTGCTGGGTGTGGTGACACTCCTTTAATCCCAGCAGAGGCAGGCAGGTCCAGAGGTCCTAAGTTCAATTCCCAGCAACCACATGGTGGCTCACAACCATCCATCATGAGATCTGGTGCCTTCTTCTGGTGTGCAGATATACACGGAAGCAGAATGTTGTATACATAATAAATAAATAAATAAATAAATTATTTTTAAAATTTATTTAAAAAAATCAAAACAACAAAACATGGGGGAAAGGGTGAGTTCATGCACTGGAGATCTAGACAGAGGATCACCAGGAGCTCAAAGCTAACCTACACAGGGAGTTTGAGACTCACTTGGACTAAGAAGAACCTGTCTCAAAACAACAAAAAGAAAACAATACTGTATGGTACATGCCTAAAATTGTAGCACTCAGGAGCCTGAGGCAGCAGGATTACCACAAATTCAAAGTCAGCCTAGTCTACAGTTGTCCCGGTCTCAAAATCCAACTACCCGATGGCCAAAAAAACTTGAAAAGTTCCATATTGGGCTGGGAAGGAGGCTTAGCAGTTAAGACTAGTTTTTTTTTTTTTTTTTTTTTTTTTTTCCCAAGACAAGGCTTCTCTGTGTAGCCCTTGCTGTCCTGGAACTCGCTCTGTAGACCAGGCTGGCCTCTAACTCACAGAGATCTGCCTGCCTCTGACTCCTGAGTGCTGGCACCACCATCTGTCTAAGAACACCAGTTCTTGTAGAGTTCAGTTCCCAGTACCCACATGGCATTTGTAACTCTAGTTCCAGGGAATCTGATGCCCTTTTCTGGCCTCTGAAAGACACCAGGCAATACAAGGTAAACATATACATATAGGCAAAACATTCAAACATATTAAAAATAGTTCCATATAGCCAGGCAGTGGTGGTGCACACCTTTAATCCCAGCACTTGGGAAGGGGCAGGTGATCTCCCTGAATTTGCGGCCAGCCTGGTCTACAGAGTGAATTCCAGACTGTTATGCCGAAAAACCCTGTCTTGAAAAACAACAATTGTATCATTTAGTGAGACAGTCTCTCACTGTATAGCCATGGCTGGCCATGTACTCCCAGATGTCTTGCCTGCTGCTGCCTCTTTTTATTTATCTTTATTTTTAATGTTATGTGTAGGAACGTCTTGCCTACACACACACACATATATATGTAGGTGTAGCTGAGAGGTTTGGACACCCAGGAACTGGAGTTAAAGCTGCAAGCTGCTAGGAACCACACCGAGGCCCTCTGGTGGATTGCTATCTTTCCAGTCCTGTCTCTGCCTGGTGAGTGTTGGGATTAAAGAAGTCATGCACCTGCACACTTAGCCTTTGGTCCCAGTACTGGGAGTCAGAAACAAGCCTCAGTTGCAGGCCAGCCTGGTCTACATAATAAGCTCCAGGCTAGTTAGGGATACATGGTGAGGCCTGGTCTAAAAATTTTTTTAAAATTTTATTTCTTTGGGGGGGGGTACTATGTTCCTTGGCATGGTGTATGGTGTGATGGTCAGAAGACAATCTTTTTTTTTTTTAATTTTAAACATTTTTATTTATTATGTATATTGTGTTCTATATGCCAGCAGACCAGAAGAGGACACCAGATCTCATTACAGATGACTGTGAGCCATCATGTATGTGGTTGCTGGGAATTGAACTCAGGACCTCTGGAAGAGCAGCCAGTGCTCTTAACCTCTGAGCCATCTCTCCAGCTCCCAGAGGACAATCTTGTGGCGTCATTTCTTTCCGTTCTGTGTGCCAAGCACTTTTACCTGCTAAGCCATATCCTTGTCCCATAGACGGGATCTCATTATGTTGTCCCAGCTTGCCCCAAAGTTTTGGGCTAAAACATACCTTCTGTTTCAGTATGAAGAGTAGCTGGTACTACCGGCATGTCACTTGCCCAGTGTAAATATAGGTATATACTGAAACTGTGAGGGCTCAAGATAGGGTTTCTCTGCATTGCTTTGATGCTTGGCCTGGAACTTGTTCTGTAGACCAGGCTGGTCTCAAACTCACAGAGATCTTTCTGCCTCTGCCTCCTGAGTGGTGGGATTAACGGCATGCACCACAAGCACCTGGCTTCTGTTTTACATTTTAATTACTATGTTTAAGAGATCTATAAAATATAAATGCCTCTAATTTGTAAGCCCCAACTGCCCAAGGACAGTTAACTTCCTGGAGTGCTGGGAGCTGTTGTTCATGTAACAGAACAAGTCATATGTTTTTGCTTCTATAAACAAGCTTGGTTGACCCAACTGCACAGGACATGCTTGATCACATGTGGGCGGGAGTGTACAGGCAGGAAGAATGTATGCCTGCTCCTGATTGGACAACGATGGGAAGTTTGTAGCTCTATGGGTTTTGCCTTTATAAGTCTTTAATTAATGCAATTTGCAGCCATTCTCTGGGAATCCCAGATATGGACCTGGCCAGTGTCCATCATCCTGGGCAGTATTTAAAAAGCTTGCTTTATTTAAATTTAGCTCAAAATCGTGGCAGTGGTCTTATTTTTCTCAGTGAGATTAACAATACAACTTATTTTTTAAAATCCCATAAAGGGTAACTGGGGCTGTAGTTCAGTTGGTAGAGCATGCTTGCCTGGCATGCATGAAGTTTTGGGTTCCCTTCCTAGAGCCACAGAAACCAGGGATGGTGGTGGAGGCCCATGATCCCAGCACCAGAGAGGTAGGGCAGGAAAATCAGAAATTCAAGTCAACAAAAACCCCAAACCACACCCTTCCCACACCCTACCCCACCACACACAAAGTATTGCTCTGAAAACTGCCTAGGGTTACAGCAGACTTGGATGTTATGATAGGTTCAAAAGGGTGAGACGTCTGTGAAAAGAACCACAGTGAAATGCCTCAGATGATCCTGCTACAGAAGAGACTGAAACAAACAAACGTGTACCGGGGAGCCAAGCTATCCCCATGCTCTGGCCTGGTGGCCCTGTACCTGAGACTTCTCCACAGAGGCTGTGTGCTTGTCACACATGGGGCTAATCTCCATTCCACGCTCCCGTTCCCGGTCACCCTGCTGGAAGAACTCGGCCATGATGCGGTCAGTCCACTGTCGATAGAGCTCCAGGGGCTTGGTGGGGTTGCTGAGGTCTGCACAGTGCACCATGTTCCTGAGGACCTGGTGAGGACAGGGAGGGACTGTCCGTCAAAGGCCAGGCTAGATCTCAGTCTGTGGGGCCTCTGACTATCCTCTCTCTCTCTCTTTTTAATGAGACAGTGGGTCTCTTATAGCCCAGATCAGTCTTGAATTTACTATGTAGCTAAGGCTGCGCTGGAACTTTGGTCCTATCCCCATCTCCTAAGTGCTTGGATTACAACAACGCCACACAAAGATTTAGTTTTTAGTGTTGTTGTTGAAAGGGTCTTCAAATAGAGTCCCAGCTGGTTTTGGACTTGTGGTCATCCTCCTGTCTCTGCCTTTGGAATGCTGGTATTATATAACTCACCAGGGTTAAGGTTTTAACTCCTACCTCTCGTGTGTGTGTGTGTGTGTGTGTGTGTGTGTGTGTGTGTGTGTGTGTTGGGCACAGGTGAAATGGAGTGAAGAAAAAGGAGAGGCGAGAAGCCTATGTGAGGGAAATGGAGAGGTGAGAGAGAGATGTGGGGCGGGATGGGAGGTCAGGGGAGAGGCCTGGGGTAGAAAGGGGTAGAGAGGAGCAAAGGGTTGATCAAGAGAGGGAGGAGGGGCATGGGCTGGGAAGGGAAACGGGGAGACGCAGACAGTAACAACATGTTAGAGGGCCCAGGGCCATTCAGGAGGCAGGGTCTGAGGGCACCTGGATGCGGTCAGCGTAGTTGTCCAGCAAGAGAACTCCCGAGCTGGTTACTTTCTTCGTCTCCACCATAGTCTTCAGGTCAGCCAGGAGGGTCATATGTTTGGACATGTCTGTGGCCAGCACCTGAGGGCAGAGTGGTGTCAAGTCAGGTGGCGAAAGCTTGCCCACACTCTCGCTGTCACCCATCCTGGCCCTGGAATTCTTTTCCTCTGCGAAACTGTAAGGCTCCTAAAACCCCTCTGCATTGTGACCCCGCCCACTGCACCGGTCCCACCCACCATGTCTATGACCATCTTTCGAAGGCTCTGCCGCTGGCGCTTGCTGAGGTTCTGGAAGATGTCACAGTTCTCTTCTTGCAGCAGCTTGAATCCCACAGCCAGGTGGTGGTTCTCAAGCACAGACTCATCGTTGTACATCAACGCCAGCTCCGAATCTGCGGTGAGACTGAGGTCAGGGGAGGCGACTTTGGGTACCACGCCCCGCCCAGTGTGCACCTAGTCTCCAACTGGCTCCACCCTCAGTGTGACCAGTTGGCTCCTGCCACATAGGTCCAGGAGCGCATTACCATAAGCCCCGTCCCCAGGCTGGCTTCGTCCAGCCTAGGCTATTCCTGGCACACCCCACTTGCCTGTGGGCCTCACCCCTACCCCAGCTGGCCCATCCCATCCACAAGCCCCGCCCCCATCCTGGCTAGCTCCACCCCTAGCTCATTTGGTTCAATTCCACACCCACAAACCAGGCCCATGGGCAGGTTAGTTCCCATCAGCATATAAAGCCCCCAAAGCCATCCTTGCTAACCCCACCCCCAACCCAGGTGGACCAGTCTCCACAGCACAACTGGCTTCACCTTCATCCTGACCAGCCTTGGCCCAGCTAGATTAGCATCCTTCTCTCAACCCAGCTTGGTGGGCCAGCTCCACCTCCATTCAAGCAGGTATTGCTCTTAGGGCAAATGGCCACACACCCTGAGCCTGACTGTCTATACCCTGAAAAGCCACACTCACTGGTGTTGATAAGGAACTGGTTGGAGACGCCAGGGTGGTCCACGTCGTGGATGGCAGCAGCAAAGAGGGCGGCAAGAATCTCCAGGTCTGTGAACACAGCCTGGGGGCAAGGAGAAGAGGTGAGGGAGAGGCAGAGCCTGAAACAAAGGGGCTAGCACGGGTGGAGACGGGGAGGAAGGTGGGGTCCAGAGAGAGGAGAGGAGAGGAGGGGAGGAGGGGAGGGGAGGGGAGGAGAGGAGAGTCTGGGCTTGCTGTAGAAGCATGAGGACCTGAATTTTAAACCTGGACCCCACAAAAAAAGCCAGCCCTGATGGCCTGCTCTTGCAATCCCACCCAGTACACTGGGGAGGTACACAAGCAGATTCCTAGGGCTCCCTGGGCAGCCAATCTGAGAGCCCAGGCCACTGTGAGATCCTCTCTCAAAAAACAAGGCATTAATCTCAGCGCTCAGAAGGCAGATGCAGGTGGATCTCTATGAGTTAGACACCAGCCTGGTCTACATAGTGAGTTCCAACTACAGGGTGAGACCATCTCAAAACAAAAAGGGGGATGCTAGAGAGGCAGCTGAATGAGTTTGAATCCCCAGGACCCATAAACAAGCCATAGATTATATCTGTAATCCCAGTGTTCCTATAGCGAGATGGGAGTCGGAGCCAGGAGACTCCCAAGCCCTGGACCAGCTAGCCCGGCCTATGTAGCAACAAATGAGATCCTGTCTTCAAACAAGGTAAAAAAGTGTCCTATGACTGCCAAACTTGCACCACGGCTCACTTGCACATGCCCCTCCCCCACCAACAAAACAAAAGACACTAGCAAGATGGCTCACTGGGTAAAGGAACTTGCCACCAAGCCTAACAAACTGAGTTTGATTCCTGGACCTACACGGTAAAAAGGCAGAAAAGATTTCCAAAAACTGACCTCCACACATGCGGAACTCCCCCACCCGCCCCCTGCTCAAGCACAAGACAAAAACAAAAAATCAGAAAAGGTAAGATTAGAGAAACAGGATAGAGACAAGATCAGAGGGACAGACATATGGAAGAAAGGACCGGCACAGGAAGAAGATGGTGGCAAGGGGCGGTGGCAGGCGCTTACATCCAGGGCGGGCGTGGCCAGCAGCACGTGTATGGACTGCAGCACGTCCGCCGCGTGCAGGCTGTTGTGGTAGGCGACGTCGGCATGGTAGTGGTCTTCCAGGGTCAGCATGTAAGTCACCATAGTGTCCACAGGGATGCGGAATTTCTTTAGCAGGTCCCGCTCCTGGGAGCCAACAAGGGCTGGACAGTGACCCCTGCTGGCTCCCAGTACCCTGTCCCAGTCCCGTGTATCCCAGCCAGCTCCCTGGTGTCCCCATCACCTGGAATATCGTATACATGATGCAGCTGAGTGAACGCCCTCCAGCGTACTCCGACACACAAAAGATATTCAGGCCCCATTTGCTCAAGTTCTCCAGTTCCTGGCAGTAATGGAGTGAGAGGTCAGTAGCCTGCATGGCTTGGGGACCTGAAAGCCACTTCCTAGGGCTCTCAGATTCATTATTGCTAACAAAATGCATGGACTCCCCCGCCCCTGGTTTATGTACTTATAATGTATACATTTCTGTTTGCAGGCCAGATCCCATTACAGATGGCTGTGAGCCACCAGGTGGTTGCTGGGAATTGAACTCGGGTCCTCTGGAAGAGCAGCCAGTGCTCTTAACTTCTGAGCCATCTCTCCAGCCCCTCATTATTCTTTTAAAAAATTCTTTAAAAAAGCCAGACCTGGCTCAAAAAATTATTATTATTATTATTGTTTTTTTAAGGCAGAGTTTCTCTGTGGCTTTGGAGGCTGTCCTGGAACTAGCTCTTGTAGACCAGGCTGGCCTCAAACTCACAGAAATCCTCCTGCCTCTGCCTCCCTAGAGCTGGGATTAAAGGTGTGCGCCACCACCGCCCGAATCAAAAAATTATTTAAAAAAGAACACATTTAAAATATTTTTATGTGTATGTCAGTTGTATGTATGGTGTCCAAAGAGGCCAGAAGAGGTGTTAAAATCCCCTGCAGCTGGAATTACTGTCAGTTTTGAGTCTCTCCCCTCCACATCATGGGGTGCTAGGAACTGTGTGTGTGTTTACATGTGTGTCAGTCACAACTAGTGGGAGTTGCTTCTCCCTTTCTGGAATGTGGGTCCTGGGTATTGAACTCAGGTCATTGGGTGGCAAGTGCTTGTTCATTTTTTGAGTCAGTCTCTGTCAGTAAACCGCGAGCTCACAGGTTTGGCTACTCTGGCTGCCCATCAAGCCCCAGGGATGGTCCTGTCTTGTCTTCACCTAACTAACACTGGGATAACAGGTCTACACATGACACCTGGTTTTTATGTGGGCACCAGGGATCTGAAATTGGACCACACTTCAAATACTGGAAATCGCCCCAGTCATACCCTATCTTTCCTTTGAGGCAGGGTCTCCTGTAGTCCATGGTGGCCTTGAACTCACTCTATAGTGGAAGATGACCCTGAATGCCTGACTTTTCCCCACTTTTACCTCCCCAGTGCTAGGATCATAGGCATAGGCCATCACATTTGGTTTATATGATGCTGGGAATGGACTCTGGGAACTCAGGCATGCCAGGCAAGCGCCCTACCAACTGAACCACATCCCCTTGCCCGAAGTGTCTCCAGCCCTGTTATGTATCAAGTGCTTGAGCTCAGCTGGTGGGTGAGGGAAGCTCAGAGAAGAGACTTTGATACACAAGCTGGATGGGAGCCAAGGCAGGCTGATTCCCAAGCTGAGCTCAAACCCTAAGCTGACCTGATCATGAGACCTCAATTGTGTTGGGGTGAGGGAAGGAATAGTGCTCTCCTCCAAATACATTACACAGCAGGTAGTGGTCAATAACGGGTGATTGATTGATAAGCGGCTTCACTAGAGCTGCTCCAAGTGAGTTAGAATGAATGGCTGCCTTAGTTCAGGCTCCTGCTGAATCAAGCTTGGAGTCACTCCCTGCCCATCCTTTACTTCCATCTTGGAATGGCTCAGACTCTGCATCCTGGGACTCTGGGCTAGATGAGTTCCTAAGACCCAGTCTTTGCTGAACGCTCCCCCCCCCCCAAGACAACACTGTCCCTGCTGAGCCCCACCACCTACTTGTGCTAAGAGCTCTTCTTGATCTGTCTTGACTCCAAATCGTGGGATACTGGCGTTCATGCTTCCAGTGTGCACCAGCTTTTTCAACCCTGTGATCTGAGACATGGGCTGGGACTGTTGTACCACCGGTGGTGGGGGCTGCTGGAAGGCTCTGTGTCGTGGTGTGGGTGATGGGATCTCCATTTCATTCTGCTTGTCTGTCAAACATCAGGCAACAAAGCATGAGACCCCCTTTCAAGGAGGCTCCCCACATCCCTCAGTCCTGTCGAGGTCCTCAGATTCTCACTTGATATGAGGCAATCCTTCTGGGGGTAGTGCTGGTCTCTTTTCTGAGGTGGGAAGCCAGGACACATGTAAGACATTTGCTGGAAGGTGATGGGCTGTAGTGGGGGGTCTTAGGGGTGGTCCTGGACTATGGAGTACCCTCAGACTCGTGCCCAGTTTGGGCCACAACATGGTATCAGACATGAGGAGGTGGGAAGGGGAAGTCCCAGAGTAAGCTGCTGCTGAACCTGGACAGCCAGGGAACCGTCTTGGCTAGGGAAGACACCCCTGTGACGGCCAGGAGTGGTGGTGGGAAGGGGCATGGCTGGGAGGTGAGAGGGAAGGGAGGTCTCTGGGTCCATGACCCTCTCCCCTCAGCACCAGCCAGCCTGGGGACCAGTCCCAGATTCTTCTGGAGCTTTACAAGCTTCTGAGGGCTAGCTAGACCCACCCCATTATGACCTTGGAAGAACTAATTTGCATGTAGCCCTGTCATTGGCTGCATCCTCAGAATTCTGAGACATACCACACCCTCACTATTGTAGGTAGGCTTAAAACCTTTGAAATCTCTTCAGTGGTGGTGGCACACACCTTTAATACCAGCACTCCAGAGGCAGAGGCAGGTAGATCTCTGTGAGTTCGAGACCAGCTTGGTCTTCAAGAGGTAGTTCCAGGAAAGCCTCCAAAGCCACAGAGAAACCCTGTCTCGAAAAACCAAAACAAACAAACAAACACTCTGAATCTCCTAATTTTAAAAACTTTGTTGTTGTTTTCAAGACAGGGTTTCTCTGTGTAGCTTTTTTGGAGACTGTCCTGGAACTCACTCACTCTGTAGACAAGGGTGGCCTCAAATTCACAGAAATCCACCTGCTTTTGCCTCCTGTGTGCTAGAATTAAAGAGGTGCACCACCACTGCCTGGGGTCCTATAGTGTAGCCCAGGCTGTCCTGGAATTCCCCTGCCTCAGCCTCTTAGTCTTTTGAGTTCTGGGATTTTACAGGTGTGCTCCACCACCCCAGTCTTCTTAAAATTTATTTTTATCTTTACTTAAAAGGTTTCTTTTATGTGTATATGTGTACCTGTATTTATGTGCTGCAGGGACCCTGGGAGGCCAGAAGAGTGCATCAGATCTGGAACTGGAGTTAGTTGTGAGCTGCCTGATATGGGTGCTGGGGACCTAACCTGAGCCCTCTGCAAGTGCAGTATTCACTCTTAACCACAGAGCCATCTCTCCAGAGCCCCCTGCTTTTTTCTTTTACTGACTTTTTGTTTTTGAGACGGGGTCTCTCTGTGTGGCCTTTGCCATCGTGGAATTCATTCTGTTGACCAGGCTAACCTTGAACTCAAGGCTCAGTCTGCCTCCAAAGTGCTGGGATCAAAGGAGTGCACCACCAAGCCTGGCCTTTTATTGATTTGTTGTTCTATTTCGTTTTGTTTTCCAAGATAGGGTATCTTTGTGACCGGCTAGAACTCTCAGAGATCCATCTGTCTTAGTCTCCTGATGGATCCATCTCAAGATGGATGGCATGTGGTGGCATGTGCCACCACACTGGCTCACTTTTATTAGTTTTTAAAAAGTATTCATTTGGCCGGCTGGTGGTGGCACACGCCTTTAATCCCACCAGAGGCAGGCAGATCACTGAGCTTGAGGCCAGTCTGGTTTACAGAGTGAGTTACAGGACAGTTGGGGCTACACAGAGAAACCCGTCTGCGGTGAGGTATTTATTTGTGTTTATGTGTGTTCACATGAGGACATGTGGACAGAGAGGTCAGAGGACAATCCTGGGTATCAATCCTCTACAGCCACCCTGCTTCTGTCTCTTTTTCAGACAGGGTCTGACTGTCTATCCCTGTCTGGTCTGGAATTTGCTTTATAGACCATGCTGGCCTTGAACATACAGATCTTCCTGTATGTTCCTGCCTGAGCATTGAGATTAAAGGGTGTGTCAGAGATATCCTATGTATTTTATTTTGATTTATTTCGACAGCATCTTGCTATGCAGCCCACATTGCCCTTAGATTTCCAGTTCTCAGCACTAGGATTATAGGTGTACAACATCACATCCTGCTATGGCCCACTGAGTGTGCTTGGTTCGGTTTTGAGACAGCGTCTGTTGTTTTTATTTCTTAAGCTCATATGGCTTCCAATCAGCTATATAGCAAATGGTGACTTTGAACTTCTTCCTCTGCTTCCCCAGAGTGGTGGGATGACAGGCCTGTGCCACCAGGGTGGGTTTATGCCATGATGGTGAAGGAGACCAGGGCTTTGTGCATGCCACGGTATGCTACCCACTGAACCCCCTTCCCAGTCAGTGCTTGGAGGCTTTTCCAAGTTTAAGAATTCTATTTGAAGCTGGGAGGTGGTGGCACACGCCTTTAGTCCCAGCACTCGGGAGGCAGAGGCAGGTGGATCTCTGTGAGTTTGAGGCCAGCCTGGTCTACAGAGCGAGTTTAGGGACAGGCTCCAAAGCCATACAGAGAAACCCTGTCTCGAAAAACAAAAAACAAACAAACAAAAAAGAATTCTATTTGAGCCTGGTCTACATATTGAGTTCCAGGCCAGCCAAAAAACTACACAACAAAACCTGTCTTGATAAACAAATAACGAAAAATAAACAAGAATTTTAATGGGGATTGTGATCTTATATTGGCATTTTTTTTGTGTGTATACACACATGCATGCAGGCCAAAGTGAACCTCCAGAGTGTTGGAGCAACAACCTTGGTTTTTTATCCTTTTTCTTTTCTTGAGACATATTAGCCTACCTGTCCTAGAACCTGCTACATAGACCAGGCTGGCTTCAAATTTACAGAGATCCGCCAGCCTCTGTCTCTCAGTGCTGGGATGAAAGGTGTGCCAGCGCCACCACTGCCGCTAGCTCTACCTTGAACCTGGGGCTCACAGATTTGGCTACGTTGCCTGGCCAATGTCTTCATCTACAAAGTCCTTGGATTATATGTGTACAATGTGGTGTCTGGCTCATTACATGGGTGCTAGGCATTTGAATGCAAGTCCTCACATTTAGGAGGCCAGTACTTTAGTAATACAGAAATCTCCCCAGCCTGAAATATAAATATGGGCTCCACAGAAATTGGGCGGTTTCACTAAGTTTGAGAGGGGACTCATGAATAGGGAGCTCTTGAACTCAGTGACCCTTGACCCAATGCCCCACGCCCCTCCCACTTGCTGCCTCTTACACTCACCCAGGAATGTTGTGGAAATGTACTCTGAGACCTGGTTTCCCGACCTGCTCATTTCCGACAGGTGTGTGAGTTCACGGTTCAGCATCCTTTTGAACTGAGGAGAAGGAGCCAAGAAGGAATGAATGATGGGGGGTCGTTATGGGGTGCACGTGGATATGGATATGTGAGAGCCCTTCCCAACAAATCCCTAAAGGCTTCACAATTTCTCCACTCAGAGCCCTCAATTAGGATGCTTGATGGGTGCAATTAGCTTTTCCTGTCCTCTTGGCTCTGGAGGGGGGACTCCCTTAACTTGGGAGGAGGGGATTCCCAGGTGAGGAAAGGACAGCCCCCCTTACAAAGAGGAGTGCAAAGAGCACCTGTAGAAGGGAGGGGCTCCAGCTAACAACAGAACCAATAGCGCACCAGGAGAGTCCTGTCGCCATGGTGATGGGAGTCTCCTTAGCAACTCCCCCTCCAACCAGCTGCTGAGTCCAGAAAAGGGGGGCAAGTCTGAGGCCCCTTAACCCTTACCTGCCCAGAGCTACCCCAGGGCCTAGGTGTTGCCAAACATGACCTCGATTCAGGATTGGAGATTGGAGGGGAAGGATGGGGGTCTGCTATTCAGCCCCAGCCGGATCTAGAAAGTTAATGTTTCTTAGCACCCAAGCTCTGGAGAGGAGAGGGTTTGGCCAGACTAATGGGGAAAGAGTGAGCCTGGGAAATCCCAGTCCCATCACCTGGGGAAGGGGGTTCTCATTAAAGCCCCTCTCCTCTTTAGGGGGTAGATAATGTACAAATGGGTGGAATATGCCCCCAAATGGGTTTGGGGGTCCTTTCCTGGTCCCCCCATATCCCTTCACACAGGCATCTTCTGTGACATTGGACTTGGAGCAGAAAGGGCATTTGCTCCCCACCCCCAGCACCCCATAGCAGGGACAGACTCTTGTATGGGCAAGGCAGAGGGGTGGCAGACAGGAGGGAGTGACCCACACTGGTGAGGATGGTCATTTTCTCAGTACTACCCAGAGACCCTGGACACAGACACACATACACAATCTCACACAACTGCACACAATTCCACACTGTCCCCAATCTATCGTCACACAGCTCAGATGCACCAACTGAAAGGTACACACCCCAATAAATAGTCATTGACATTTGGGGGTCACACACCCAAGAAACATCAAGTAGCACTGCATTTAACAAATAAACCCCAACACAAAATATCTGGTCCATTCCAGGAACAAGGCAGGACACCCGGCCATCGCAGACACATGCACAGCCAGGTACAGGTCAGTCACACCCAGCCAGAGAGACACCTTCCCCAGTAAGACCCTACCACCACCACCAGCCCTAGGTCACACAGAAGCTACAAAGCATGTTATATGGCCCACCCATACATGAACACAGCTGCATCCAAGTGCCCATCCCATAAGGTCAGAGGTCCCTGATGGACAATGTCCTCCCCCTACCCCCGACCCTGAACTCCCCTACCTGGTCCCACCAGCCCACCAGCCAGGGCTTGGAGCAGGTCTCGCAGAAGAAGTCAACCAGAGGCATGTTGGAAGCTCAGCTCAGCTCTGGGCTGACAAACAGGTAAAGTAGGCTTGGCTGAGTCCCTGGGTCAATGATGCCTGGGGACTGGGGGCAATGGGGGGGGGGCTGGGCAGGGGGGGACACTATCCAAGGGGAGCCGCGGAGGGGCTTGGGCCAGCCCAGAAGGACTGGGGGCCCCCTTCCCCTCCGCGCTCCCAGCAGCAGCCCTGGTTACATGGTCTGCCAGTCCCTGGTTATGATGGGTCCCTCTGCAGCAGAGGCAGGAGGCAGTGGGGGACCTGTGCCCATGGGGACAGGCAGGGTAAGTGTCCTGCTCTGGACGGCTGTGCTGAGGAGGCTGGGGCTCCTATGTGCACGGGTGTGAATGCTCTCTCCCTCTCTCCCTCTCTTTCTCTCTCTCCCTCTCCCTCTCTCTCTCACTGCGGTACTGGAGGCTGCACTTGAAGTCAGGAGGTGCTGGGGGGGGGGGGGCGTTAAACCCTCTCTCCCTCTCTTTCTCTCTCTCCCGCTCCCTCTCTCTCTCACTGCGGTACTGGAGGCGTCACTTGAAGTCAGGTGGTGCTGGGGGTGGGGGGGCGTTAAAGGGGCATCAGAGCCCATGGGCCTCAGCCAGGACTCAGAGGAGGCTTCTGTGGCAAGGAGGCCCTCAAGCCTCTCTGAGGACACATGTCACTCATGCAGGGACATGGCCAGATATAGAAACACACTCCACATCACACATGCCTTGAGACACACCATCCTCAAACCCAGACACTGAATACAGCCAGACACCCAAATGCTTACACACACACACAGACACACACACAGACAAACACGCTGAAGCTTCGTGAAACATTTAAACACAGCACACATAGGTCCCAGGCCTGCTTCTATCAAGCGCCCACAGGCAGCACAGACTGAGGAACACTGCCCAGGACCTGACACATTCAAGGTACAAATCAACACACACTGTCACAGAAACACTGATATGTGCAAGGAAGTGTGTACTCTCTCACACACACAGTTGTAGAGACCGTTTAACCCATCCTCAGGGACACATTTGTCCTTGAACTCCTCTTCCCAGACAAGCCTCCACCACACAGATATATGCATTCCTGAAGAACGCCCCCACCTGCGCACTCGTTTCCTGACAGACACCACCCACAAGGGCTGCACAGCTCCCGGAAGCCTCACTCATATGGCCCTGCTGACTGAATAGTGCCCCATGGAGTTGGGCCGTTCACACCCTACACAGCTGGACAGGGAAGCCCCATGCCTCTCTTAACAATGGCTACAACTTATAAAAAATCACAGGTTCTCAGATCCAAACCCTGACCAAACTCACACCCTCAGATGCATCCCTCCGGCATAGCCTGCACAACCACACACCCTTCTGAAGGCACACACCCGCACACAAAAAGCCAACAGCCATACAGATTGGAAGCCAGGGATCCACACAACCACACAAGCTCCACGAGAGAAAGCTATCTGCAGAAACTATGCACAACTAAACTACCCCTTCCCCCAACAGCAGGCTCCCTCAGCTCAGAGAAAAGCATGAGTTACAAGCTACTTTTCTAGAGGCACAGTCAAATGCCAGGCCTGGTGCTCTACATCAGAGCTCAGTCCTGCTCACCACCCGAATTCGGTGATCAATCAGCTTTGCACACAGTCCTGCTCCAGGACTGCCGTCATTCACTCCACTTCCCTACACAGTAATTGGTTCTGCCACACTGGACCTGCTAAGCCTCTGGCATCATTCAGAGACCATGCCCTAGGATAAGCAAATAGGACCTATCATGGAATTGGCTCCACCATGGATTCATATTACTCCTGCAGCCCTGCCTAGAGGTTTGCCCACCACAGCAAAGGCTTAACTCCACCCACCATACCACCCATTCTGAAGGATTCAGGCCATCATGATCTCAAATACTCTCCTCAAGCTTTCCCCTAGCGACTGGTTCCACCCAACACCAAACACCCACCTCGCCCACCCACCCCAATCACCCTGCCCACTGGCCTCACCCACCCATCAAGATTTGCCCTGCCCAACAAGCCCTCTCTATCAAGGGCACTAGCCCTGTCCACCACAGATTCACCCAGCCCTCCAGGCAGAATTAGCTGCTCACGGGCCCTGCCCACCTTGTGTGAGGCCATCTCGCTGACAGAGCGGTAGGTCTGCATGGTCTCCAGCTGCTCCAAACACCAGTCTAGCTCTTCCAGGGTCTCCCGGGCCAGCTGCTGGCATGTCTCCTCTGAGAAATGGGTGTCCAGGGAAGTGACCCTGAGGGCCCCCAGGCAGTCTCCCACCCCAGTACTAAGGGTACACCCAGGGTAAGGACAGCCTTTCCCCAACCTCTAGGCTTAGCTACCTGACAGCGTGGCCTTGCAGACAGCGGGTGGGCCGCCCAGTGGGGACCACCTGCAAAAAAATGGGACTCCAATGTCAGTCTGGGTTCTCTGAGAACCAGCCTCCCTCTCCACGAGTAACACCAGTTTCCCTGACTTTGAACTCATACAATTTCAGAGCCTGAATTTGTCTTTTGTAAGACAGTCTCAGCTGAGGCTGGCCTCAAACTCACTACTTAGCCAAAGATGACCTTGATCCTCCAAATCCTACATTCTCAGTGATGGGATTGCAGATGTGCACCACTTTTCCCCGTGTGTGGAGTGTGGGGATAGAACTCAGGGCTTCATGAATGTGAGGCAAACTGAACTCCAGCCCCATTAATTCATTATTTGTTTATTTTGGTTTAAATTCTGGCCTCTGAACTACACACCCAGCCCAAGAGCTCAAATAGGTGAAAACAGATTCTATTGCAGGTGGCAATGTTTCAACAGGGCCTCATTGTAGCATGGTCTAGACTGGAACACATCTGGCCTCAGCCTCCTCCTGGGTACTGGGATGGCAGATGAGGGCTACCACATCTAGCTGAAATCTAATTTCATTTAGTCCACATTGGTGACCTGTGGTAGGTAGATTCTATGTTTTCAAGTTTCCCGTTCTCCCCAACTTTCTCAAGCTTTTGAGTATGCCTGTCCTAACTGTCAAGGACTGCAACTCCCAGCCACCCCTCTGCCCTAAGGTAAGAAGAATGTCCTTCCCCTCCTCTATTTTTTTTTTTTCCGAGACAGGGTTTCTCTATGTAGCTTTGGAGCCTATCCTGGCACTCGCTCTGGAGAACAGGCTGGCCTCGAACTCACACAGATCCGCCTGCCTCTGCCTCCCGGGTGCTGAGATTAAAGGCGTGCGCCACCAACGCCCGGCTCCATCCTCTATTTTTTTTTTTTTTAAGATTTTTATTTATTTATCATGTATACAACATTCTGCTTCCATGTATATCTGCACACCAGAAGAGGGCACCAGATCTCATTACAGATGGTTGTGAGCCACCATGTGGTTGCTGGGAATTGAACTCAGGACCTCTGGAAGAGCAGTCAGTGCTCTTAACCTCTGAGCCATCTAGCCAGCCCTCCCTCCTCTATTTTTAAAGGCAGGTTCTGACTGTGTAGCCCTGGCTGTTCTGGAACCCACTCTGTAGACCAGGCTGGCTTTGAAAGCACAGAGCTCCCCCTGCTCTGCCTTCAGAGGGCTAGGATTACAGGAGTGCGCCACCATGCTTGGCCCATACTAATTTCTAATTTTATTTTTAACTGTGTGTGTGTGTGTGTGTGTGTGTGTGTGTGTGTGTGTGTGTGTGCTTGTGCACATGCGCACATGGGAGTGTAGGTGCCCTTAGAGTCCAGAAGAAAGTGCTGGAGTTCAGGCGGTTATGTGGGTGCAGGGAGCTGAATTCAAGTCCTCTGCGAGAGCAGTGCTCATGTTCAGCCGATAACTATCTCTCCAACCCCCCTCCCCACTCCTATTTTTAAACAGCTTTCTTTCACATTTATCATCGGGGGCATGAAGGTCACTGTGCGTGTGTGGGGGTCAGTTCTCTACCCTCTATGTGGGCTCTGGGGATTGAACTCAGGCTGTCAGGTTTGGCAGCAAGCACCTTTTATCCATTGAGCCATCTCACCTGACTGGAAGCATCCTTATTTGCTGAGCAAATACTATGTACAAACAATGTCCTATTTATTGAGCATATACTACATACAGACAACGTCCTAACACTTTGTGCGTGTCGTCTTCTGGGCTTCTCGAAGAAGCTTTCGTTTTACTGAAGAGAAACACAGGCACCCCTGATTACTGTTTGCCTAGCAGGCTTGTGTCATAACCTGGAGCTCAGGGCTGGAGCGGGAGCCTTTACACCGTTCCTGCAGGCCTTTATTCCTAGAAGCAGCGGTTCTCTAACTTAGAAGGGCTGCTTGAACAGAGGGCCAAGTATTGGATGGCCTGAGGAGGAGGAGACCCAATCCAATACCAACATTTAGTCTGATTCTTTGGTCACCCTGAAGTCTACATCTTAATTCTACCAGGCTTCAGAATTATCTCACATTGTCATCTATTATTCGGCTACATACGAACAGTATGAGCAGCAATATCCATCGGATGCCTTGGATTCATTGGATGGGCTCATTGTATGTTCACAGTAGGGCTCGGTGTAGACACCCGCCACTATAATTACTGCCATCCCAACCGGAGTAAAAGTATTTAGCTGAGGTACCATCAAATGATCTCCCATTATGCTAAGAGCCTTTATTTTCCTCTTTAAAGGAGGAGGACTTACAGGAATTGTTCTGTCAAACTCATCCTTAGTGTCTTACATGACACCTACTACGGGTCTCGTCTATGGAGCTGTATTTGCTATCATAGCAGGGTTTCTCCACTGATTCCCGCTGGTCTCTGGTTACAACCTTGATGACACATGAGCCAAAGCCCACTTTGCTATTATATTAGTAGAAGTAAACGTAACTTTCTTCCCCTTGCTGTCCTTTTTTCTTTTCCTCCACTTTGAGACAAGGTCTCACGTAGCCCAGGCTGTCCTGAAACTCCCTATGTGGCCAAGGATGAACCTGAACTCCTGATTCTTCTGCCTCTACTCCCCGAGGACTAGGATGTCAGGTGTACACCACTGCACCTGGTTTATGGGTGGCTGGGGTGGAACCCAGGGCTTCCTGAATACTAGGCAAGTACCCTACTCGCTGAGCTGCACCCCCAGACTGAGAGTGGGCACTGGGGACTCAGCTCCACTTACTTGTTGCTGGGGATGGGCACATTGGTTAAGAGTGAGAAGTTGTTTCGAACGCTCCGGAGACTGGCCAGCACCTGGGGTGGGGGACAGCTGTAAGGAGAGATGTCTACCTGCAAGGACCACTGGGCTGGGCCCCTTTCCCATCAGGGGAGGAGGTCTCACCTGGGCAAATGGTGTCACAATGAGGTCTTCGGCATGCCTGAAAGTAAAAACAGGGGCAGGTGAGGGTCCAGGTCTTTGGGGTGGACACCGTGGGGTCACGATTAGCAAGGAGGAGGAGACAGGACAAGGCAACTGTAGGGACATACCATAGGTGCCACAGAGTGGGAACCGTATACACATGACATGGAGGCCAGAGAGAGGAAGACTGCAGATGGGGGCCCCCAGGTCAATAGGGGCTTATGAGCAAGGGAAGGCTAGAGGGGGTCCCAGAAGTGGGGCTCCTCTTTTGCTGGAGCAACAGCTTCGTAGGGCTGTGCGGGGGATACAGTTCAATGGTACACATTGCCCACCACATATAACTCCCCAAATCATTCCCAGAAACAAACAAAAGAGAAAAGAAGGAAAACTAAAAAGAGCCAGTCTGTGCCATACGCTTGTAATCTCAGCTGCTCAGAGGGCCGAGGCAGGAAGATCCCAAGTTTGAGGTTAGCTTGCCTGCTCATGGACATGTAGCTCAGTTGGTAGAGCGCTTGCCTAGCATACGGGAAGCCTTGGGTTCCATCCCCAGCACCACAGAAATAGGAAGATCAGGAATTTGACGATAGCTTCAGCTACATAGGAAGTGTGAGGCCAGCCTGGGCTACAGACCCTGTCTAGAGTTGGAGGAGAGGGAAAGCTAGGCTTGAAGGCAACCAGTGACTGGGTGTGAGCAGAGCTGGTAGGTGTGGCCACACTTTATAATCTTTTAAGTCCCGTGTGAGAGGAAAGGAGCTGCTTACCCTTCACTGGGGAAGACAGTGTGTGTGGACTGACCAAAGAGAGGGTTGGGTGCCCCACTCTTTGCTGAGAAGGGCAGCTTGTGGCAGGGCCAGCCCTAAGGGATCTGGTGAGTAGGACAGGGTGTGCTCACGCTTCGCTGGCGACAGATGAGTTCCTGGACATAGTCTTGGGTGACATGTCATAGTCACTGTCTGAGCGATAGAGGAAGGACTCTCGGCGCTGGCTGGTGGCTGCCCCAGCATGCAGCACAAGCCCCGGGCTCGCCTGCGAGTCCAGGGGGCTGCGGCCAGGGGATGGTGTCGGCCCATTTTCTGCGTCCAAGCTGCAAGGGACAGAGGGAAGATGAGTCAGGGGGACTGAGATCATGCTGTCGAGGTCAAGAGGTGTGAAAGAGACAAAGGAGGTTTGTGGCAGAGATACAGAGAGACAGGAGTGGGAAGCAGCTCAGCCGGTAGAGGGCTTGCCATGCAAGCATGAAAGATTTTACTTCATTCCTTGAAGGCACCCCACTTTAATTTTATTACACACACACACACACACACACACACACACACACACACCCCTAGTGTACTGGCTCACACCTGTAATCTCAGCACTTGGGAGGCTGAAGCAGCAAGAGCACTGCCATGAATTTGAAGAAACCTAGGTATATGGACACCACTGTCTAAGGCCAATTAACTTAAAATTTTAAGGGACACTAAGATGACCCTATCCTCTGACCTCTACTCCAACACCCATGCACTTTCACCCACACGTCCACACAAAATAAATAAGAATGTATTAATTATATATATATATATATATATGTATATATATATATATATACACACACACTCAGGGGGGGGTGACCTTGAGTTCATTGGGAAAGCCACAACCTTGAAGACAGTATTGGTCAGGTGGTGGTGGTGCACACCTTTGATCCTAGCACTCAAGAGGCAGAACCAGGAGGATGTCTGAGTTCGAGGATGTCTGAGTTCAAGGCCCACCCTATAGACCTAGCTCTAGGACAGCCAGGGTTACACAAAGAAACCCTCCTTGTCTTCAAATACCAAATACCAATAAACAAAAACAACAACAGCAATAAATAAATAAATAAATAAATAAATAAATAAAAATAAAGTTAAAAAAAAATCAACTGAGGGGGCTGGGTACATACCTTTAACCCCAGCACTCAGGAGGCAGAGGCAGGTGGATCTCTTGAGTTCAAGGTCAGTCTGGTTTACAGAGGGAGATTCAGAACAACCAAAGAAAGCTACACACAGAGAAACCCTGCCTCAAAAAACAAAACCAGACCAAACCATCTGAGTGACTGGAGACACGACTCAGCTGCTGAGAGCACCAGCCACTCTTGCAGAGGATCTGGGTTTGAGCCCCAGCACTACATGATCACAACTGTCTGTCTGGGATCTGATGCCATTCGGACTTCTGCAGGCATCAGGAACATATGTAGTACACAGACATACATGCAGGCAAAATACTCTTAAATTAAAAAATAAGGTTTCTTTCTTTATTTTTATTTATTTATTATGTATACAACATTCTGCTTCCATGTATATCTGCACACCAGAAGAGGACACCAGATCTCATAATGGATGGTTGAGAGCCACCATGTGGTTGCTGGGAATTGAACTCAGGACCTCTGGAAGAGCAGTGGGTGCTTTTAACCTCTGAGCCATCTCTCCAGCCCTTCTTCTTCTTCTTCTTTTTTTTATTTTTTTTTTAGTAAAATTTTATTGAGGGTTTGGGTGGCTAAATATAGGAAAACCATTGAAAAGGCCATTGGTCAAAGCTGGACAAAAATGTTCATAGCAGCTGTCAACTACCAAACAAAATAACCAAAACAATCCAGTAACTGAAGAGTTACATATTCTAGCAAATTCGGTCTGTGGAATAGTATACACACCATGAAAAAATGGATGACTGACACACAAAACTTGAGGGAGTCTATTTATTTGTTTGTGTTCCTGGGTGCACACCATGTGGTGCTCAAAGAACAATTGGAGGGGATCAGCTCTTTCCTTCTACCGTGTGCATTCTGGGGCTTGAACTCTGGTCCTCCTGCTTGACTGCCAGTCCCTTACCTGATACAAGGCAGAGATGAGTCAATGGCTCAGGGGATACAACATCTGTGCAATCATAAGAAACTGAGTCCCAGCCAGGCGTTGGTGGTGCACGCCTTTAATACCAGCACTTGGGAGGCAGAGGCAGGTGGGTCTCTGTGAGTTCAAGGCCAGCCTGGTCTACAAGAGCTAGCTCCAGGACAGCTTCCAAAGCAATACAGAGAAACCCTGTCTCCAAAAGCAAGCAAACAAACAAACAAACAAAAAAAGAAAGAAAAGAGGGGCTGGAGAGATGGCTTAGCGGTTAAGATCACTGACTGTTCTTCCAGAGGTCCTGAGTTCAATTCCCGGCAACCACATGGTGACTCACAACCACCTTAAATGAGATCTGGTGCCCTCTGCTGGCATGCAGGCAGAAGACTATACATAATAAACAAATAAAATCTTTAAAAAAATTTAAAAAAAAAAAGAAAGAAAAGAAAGGGAAAAAGAAACCGAGTCCCAGTTTCCAGCATCTGTGTGTAGTGGCATGCATCTAGGGGTCTACAACTCTGGGGAGCAGAGACAGGCAGATCCTAAGGGCTTAAAAGACCTACCCAATACAGCCAAACAGCAGCTCCATATCTCAAAATAACATGGAGAGTAATGAATGGATCTCTGTGAGCTCGAGGCCAGCCTGGTCTACAGAGTGAGTGCCAGGATAGTCTCCAAAGCTACACAGAGAAACCCTGTCTTGAAAAACCAAAAAAAAAAAAAAAAAAAGGGCCTCGGGCCAGTGAGATGGCCATGATCAAGGTGCTTGCCACCAAGTTCACACTCAGGTTTGACTCCTAGGACCCACATAGTGGAGAGAGAACTGACTCCTAAAGGTATCTTCTGAGCTCCACACACAATTCAACATGTATGTGTACACACACACACACACACACACACACACACACACACACACACACACACACACACACACACAGTGTGTTTAAAAATAAGAATAAAAAGGTATAAAATAAATAAATAAAAATAAAAGCTGAGCATAGGCCGGGCGGTGGTGGCACACGCCTTTAATCCCAGCACTCGAGAGGCAGAGGCAGGTGCATCTCAGTGAGTTTGAGACCAGCCTGGTCTACATAGAGTGTCTGTTTCCAGACAGCCAGGGCTACACAGAGAAACCCTGTCTCAAAAACCACAACAATGGAAACCCTGAAGACAAACACATAGAGGACTTCAGCCTTTATGACAGGGCTCATCTAGAGAGCACCTGCTTTCAAGTGCATGGTGTAAGTTGCAAGCCTCTCTTAGCCACTGCTTCTGATTTCAGACTGGTTTTAGACTTGGAATGTTGGTCTTCATATAATGACGTACCTTGGGCCCAGGACTCCAGCCCAAATGCAGAACTGATTTCCATTGTGTGTGTGAGAATGTCGGTGCCAAGGTGGTTTGAAGGGCCGAGGACTTGCAGGGATCCCTCTTCTTCTACCATGGGGGTCTTGGGGATGGAACTCAGTTCGTCAGCCTCAGGGGCAAGTCTACCCACTCAGCTAACTGGCCCACCCGACTTCTCCTATCCTTGCTATCTGCCTGCTCCTGTTAAAATGCTTTGTACATACTAACGCGTTTATTTCTGCACCATTTCTTGAGGTGGGTCCTGGTAAAATCCCAAAGAACATGAAACCCGAGGCACAAAGTGTTAGTGGGTACATGGGGGACTAGCTGCCTGATGACCATATCCTGGGTTTGTTCCCACTGAGGAACCCCAACCCTTGGCCCTCTACACAGGAGCTTAGGCTGCCGTTTAGGGAAGATGAGACCCACACAGACCCTGAGAGGGCTCTTAGCTGGCACTCTGGTGGCAAATCTGCCTGCCTCTAGGGAAGCATAGTGCACGTCAATGGCAGCAGATGGTCCCTTGGGCGCTGTTGTTTGTGCTTCAGGCCTGAATGTCCCTTGAGCTGAGGGCAGGCACAGGGGACGGGAATAGGCTGTTGAACTGAACGCTGGGAAGAAACGAGGGGTCAGCTAATCCTAGACTGCAAACCAAGCATAGAGACCTCAGTTTGATCCCTGGACTTATACTGGACAAAGTAAAGTGACTCCCTTAGCTGTCCTCTAACTTCCACGGAGGTACCGGCGTACATATCCCCACACGTATCAACACACACACAAAATAAATGCAAATATAAGGGGGAAAGACCCCTGCCTCTCCTGTCTGTCACTGGCTGCTTGGAGGTGGCCCACAGTCAGCCACAGAAAACTAGACTGAGGGAGGAGCGGAGGCTGGCACTGTAGCCACCAGCCCAGTCAGCATGGGTACAGTGACCTGCTCTAGAGTCTCACTCCGACCTCAGAGCAACACAGTCAAGTACTGGCCACGGAAAGACCCGAGTCTGGACCACCACCACCAGCAGCAGCAGCAGCAGCAGCAGCAACAGTGCATGCCTGGCAGGCTAGGCTGGAAAGAAGACAGATGGGATTCCCAAGCCTCCCTAGTCTTGCCCAATCAGGGAGCTTCAGGTTCAGTGACAGTGACTGATCCTGTCTCAAAAATATAAGGTGAAGAGCCGGCGATATGGCTTGGCAGGTAAAGGTTCAATCCCCAGGACTCAAACAGTGGAGAGAGAGAATGGACCTGAAAGTTGTCCTATGACCTCTGCATGTACCACCCCAGGAAATTTTTTAAAAATACAATAATAAAAAAGAACCCAAACGCCAGGCGGTGGTGGCGCACACTTTTAATACCAGCACTTGGGAGGCAGAGGCAGGAGGATTTCTGTGAGTTCGAGGTCAGCCTGGTCTTCAAAGGGAGTTGAAGTCTCCAGGACAGTCTCCAAAATCCTACAGAGAAACCCTGTCTCGAGAAACCAAAAAAAGAAAAAACAAAACAACAACAACAAAAAACACCAAAACACAAACAAATGCTACTGAGTGCCCCATGCTAGGTGCTAAATATGTTCACATATACATTATTACCTCATTTTCCAGGCAAAAAAATCCTGACAATGCGGAGGTCAGAGAGGATGAATGGGGCTGGCTCAGTGGCAAGGTACTACCTGGCTCTCACAGTCCTGGGTTCCATCCCCAGCACTCCAAGAGGTGGAGGCAAGATGACCAGCTGTTCAAGGTCACCCTCAGCTATACAACAAATAAGAGGCCAGCATGGCTATTAAATAAGCAAACAAAAGGGCTGAATAAGTTGGTCGGGGTAGCTTTGAACCTGGGGTTGTTGGGCTCTGCACTCTGCAGCAGAAACAGAGGACCAGCCTGCTGT